ATGTTGCTGTCATTTGTTGCCGTTGCTGTTGCTGTTGCTGTTGTTGTTGCTGTTGCCGTTGACTACATAGCTATGCCGCTACCTCCACCCATATTATTATCATTATGGTTAGTCCGTCTGTTCTGTCCGGCCGTCTGTCTGTCCGTCATTTAATTTATTCAAACATTGAACTTTTATTCGCTTTCAAGCAAGCGAAAAGGTGTCGCTCGCACTACACGTGGCGCCGGGGGAGGCGGTGCGGTAGAGGCGTTCTGCCCTGTGGCAGCTATGCTCACTGAATGAGGTATGTTGCCAACGGTTGTTGCACGTTTTTCATTTTCTTCTTTTTTAAATATATTTCTATCTTATTTTCATTATGTACTTTCATAATTTTGTTGCATTAATTTATTTTAATTTTTATAGTTTTATGCTAAGCTTCAAGGAAAATGTACAGAATACTTTGCATGCGCACATAGAGCAGCAGCTATAACAACAGAGGCAAAACAAAGGCAAACAAACAATATAAATAAATAAATGAACTTAAAAAATAAATATATAAAAAAATCAATTATACTTTGAAAATTTTTATTTTTATGAGGAAAAATTAAAGTTTTTATTTGGGTATTATTTTTAAAGAAAATAATAAAATGTTATTGAAATATATAAGCATGCAAATGTATTTAAATATGCAATAAAATTATATGTGTAAATATAATATATAAAATATATTTTATTTGAGCTGGCTGATTTCTATATTATCTCACATAGCTAGAACTTATGCCTCGAGGCTAATATAATATAATGGAGCAATATTATTGTTTATTATGTTATTAGATAATCATATCAGGAATTTCATATATGTATGTGATAGTTTGATGGACTTAGTATATGTAAATCTTTGCACTGTCTGCGACTTAAAGGGGAGCTCAGACTACTGACAATGTTAGCTCAACAACTCGGAAACTAATTAGCATAGAATCAGATTGACGGACGGACAGACTAAGCTCGACTCGACTCGATTGTATATTAATAGCATCGCATGTGGGTTACACACTTTGTAACAGTTTTAAATGCACTCCATAAGTCTACGGGATAATTATGAAACAATAAACGGTAATTTCTCAAACTCTTCCTAATATATTTAATTTTTCATGAAATTTTCTACAAAATAAAAATTTGGGTATTTTAGATTAGCCAATCTAATCCTTATAAGTAGTAGCAACAGGTGTACTTCCTTATCATACGCTATATTTCTACTTGAAGAGGATTACAAATTAAGTAAACTTAGTCTTAGTCCGACTGAAATTGAAATCTTCAATATTTGTTCCTGCCAGAAATCAATCCAGATCAATACTTCTTATAATTTGTTAGCATTGAGCTCGATATTAATATTTTCTTAAAGTATAGTATATAAATAAAGTTGAAGTACTGCTACCTTGAATGGAGCACGAGTCCTGGCAAGTATGGAATTTCAAGAGCCGGATTATCTTTCAGGCAATCTTGAATCCTCTGAAAGTATTGGATGTTCAGATACATATTCAAGTATATTTTATATGCGAATATTTTGCATTGGTGAGTTTTGGTATCATATATGTACCTCCTGTATATGGCGGTAATTTTTAATATACAACTATTTTGCTTGGATGTGTTTGGACTCGACTTTGATTTGAGACAATTCAAAACAAAACAAACAAGTAAGAAGGCTCCAGTCGAGACTGCTCGACTAGGAGATACCCTGAACCCTCTAAGCTGATATTCTAATCATTCTGCACTTCTTTTATGCACACATATATATGTACATACACATGCATTCACACGCACGCATAAGCCTGCGCTCTGCTAACTGCGCAGTAAGCAGCGACTGCGCTTGGGCTGCGCTGCAGTGTGGGCAATATTATGAGAATTTATTTGTTGAATAATTTCTTTTGTAGACATAGGATCTTAATAAAACTTTCAGAGCGTATTCATATGGTGAATATGTGTGTACATTCCAAAGCACAAGTCTCTAGTACTTGAAATGCGTTTTTTTAAAATTGGGGGGAAAGGGGTGGTATCCAAAATCTGTAAATTACAAAATCTTTGTATCGATTACCTTTATATACAACGCAAATTTGAAGAATCCAGGTCTAAAAATGTTCAAATTAGGCTGAAAAAACAATGCCGATTTTTCGATTATTCTCGATAAAAAAGTTATCGGATGAATTATCGAAAAAATAAAGCAAACTCGTACTGCGTATGGTACACACGAGTATGCATGCCAAATTTCAGCTTTCTAGCTCTTATAACTTCTGAGATCGACGCACTCATACGGACGGACGGACGGACGGACGGACGGACGGACGGACGGACGGACAGACGGACAGGGCTATATCGACTCAGCTCATCGCGCTGATCAAGAATATATATACTTTGTGGGGTCTGCCACGCCTCCTTCTGCCCGTTACATACTTTTTCACAAAACCATTATACCCTGATTTCCCATTTTCAATGGGTTCAGGGTATAAAAATATCCAATACCTTATTTCGATAACTTTAAAGAGAATTCGAGGGTCTTCAATAAATTGATAGTCGTTGAAAGGACACGATACGCGATACTTTTTGGACAAACATCGTATATAACATGAATCCATTAAAAATGAGAATATTTATGATATCGAAAATCTTGTAGTGATAGAACAGGATCAGCTCTGTATTCCACTTATAAGCAATTCCGTATAGCAATTTGAACTTGATTTCCCTAGTTCAGTGAATTTAGCAGGGAAAGACTGCCTCAGGCAATATGAATATGCTTTGTTCAGTTGAAACAGTCAACACTATGATAAATCAACACGTAGATCGATTCCAACTTTTCATTTCTTGCTTAATATTTGCTAAATAGATTGTGACTCACTAAAGAACTGGCTTAATTAAGCGAAATCATAAAAAGAACAAATACATAAATTATTATTATCTAATGATATTCGGCAGACAGAGACAATTATAATAAATTGTGAAGTGAAGTGAAGTATTTGACTTCCCCAGAGCTAAGCCAATTAGCTCAAAATAGAATCGAGAGATTCTAGCGCCATTGCTTAGCCATAAATTAGAGCCCAAATGGAGCCACATAATAAGGCATATTGCCGTCATATTGTCAATAGTAATACAGAGCTTTGGGCTAGGTAAGACAATGTTTTCTCTTGGCCTTCACACGGCAGAGGGGGAGGTAGACACAGACTGAGAGAGAGAGAGAGAGAGAGAGGAACAGAGAGAAAGAGAGAGATGGCAGTGTGTGTGTTTGCTCCGAGACAGACTGAGCTAACAAAAAACCCCCCTCGATTTGAAAGATCCAAATTTGTAGAGCATAAAGCCATTGACAGTGCGATCTCGAAACGATCGTGAACTGCTTATAGTGCCATAAAACACGCTACTTAGCGAAAGAAACGTTTTCTTATTTATTTCTTTTTTTTTTTTTTTCTGTTTATTTTGGGCGGGCAGTTTGATGAATTGGTATGTGTCACGGCGACAGCATTTACAGATATTATATGATATGCTATGATATATGATGTGTGTGTGTGTGTGTGTGTGTGTGATCTATTGGAACTCGTTTGGACTGTGTGGGACAGGCCTCCCAGGTTCGATGAGCGAGCTGATGCCCGCGGCTAAGGCCTTTCGCAATTGGCACAAAAGCCCAAGTTTTTGGACGAGACTGCGACTTTCCATTGATTAACGATAATTAAAGAATTCCGCCCGGCTCAGCTGCTAATGGCATCGATATTGTGTCGCTCTGAATGAAGCGCTTGAATGTGAATTTGTTGATATGGTTGGTATCGATATGGATATGGATATGGATCTCGATGTGGATGGGGATATGGATATGGATTGGCAGCTCACATCTCGAGCACTTAGCGTGTCAGCGCTAATGCCCTCTAATAGAGCACGAATACAATGTGATATTAATTGAAACATGCAAGCAGCCAACTGGCGGGCAGAGCAAACAAACAAAACAAGAAAAACATAACAACAACCACAATGGGAACAATAACAACAACAGCACAACAACAACAAATAATCATAATAATAAAAGCAATAAACAAAATGCTCTCGTCTCGAGGGGCAAATCCACGCCGATGACGTCGACTAGGAAGGCTATGCAAAGTCTAGCTCGAGTTTGAGCTTGAGCTTGAGCTTGAGCCGGAGTCTGGCGAAATTTACCTGGGCGGATGAACACACAATTGGCACTCATAATCAAATGTAGAATTTATCAATTAGAGGAGCGTTTCTCACAGTAGACGCAATGCCTTAGCGCTTCCTATTGCAAAATGCTGTTAATTGCAATTTACAATAAGTGCAAACTGATCGAGCAATAAAAACTCGCATTCAAAACAACCATATTCGTTCACTTAGATACCCTAACCAAACACAGATTTCTCTGTTCTCGAGGATTTTCTCTCTCTCCCTCTTTCTCTCTCTTTTTCCCTCTTTCTCTCTCTGCTTAAGTGATGTTTGCATTTCTTTTGTTCGAATGCGCCGTTAAGCTAAATCTCGCGAGATTTATTCCAAACCGAATCGAGATGTAAAATGTTTCTTATGTTCACAAATATCATTCTCGAGATATCGCAAAATACTCCAATTAATTTGAAATTTAACAATAATTTCTTTTTTTTTTTTTCTTGTGTTTCGCTTTAATCCACATAAGGGCAGATTGCTAAATAAATTTGATACTTAAGCAGCATTTCAGCTAATTTAAAGAAAATAATCGTCTTTATGTCATTCCAAATTTCTGGAGAGTTTTAAAATGCCGTTAATCTGGTTGAAAATTCAATATATATATTATTTATTTTATATATTCTATACTATTTAAATATATTAGAAACATTAATTTTTTACTAGCAAAGAGTTGGTATTACACAAAGAAACTCGTTTGGCAAAATGCTGCAAAGTGGAATGGAAATCGCAGGAGTTTTTAGAAAAAAAAACTTTAGTAGATATTAAAACTAAGTTTTGTACAAAAATAATTGTTGAATTTTAAATAGCAATATATATTCAGTGAATCGAATTATTATTCATAATAATAGTAACAACAATTATTCAACAATATATGCTTCTATTCTAAAATAAATATAAATTTGAGTATACCTACATTACACAAATCTAAACAGAATATGTTTTATATCGAACTATTCGGAACCAACGAAATTAGTTTCTTCTTAACTAAATTTGTGACTATAATTATTATGTTTAATTTATTTATGTAGGTTTTATTGACTTTACCGTGCTTAACAGAGGATCAAAATAACAATGCATGAATAGAATATTGACATCGGCCGGTTCTACGGCGGAAGAGGCATGTCCTGGATGCAGGAATAAAGATGGCAATGCTCCGCAACCTTAACGCCTAATGCGGGATAGGTCCTGTTTCTAAGGTGGGAGGCAGTCTGAGAAGATCAGGGTTTCGGTCATCATACAGAGGAACGACCTGCTAGACCCTACGTCAGGTACATAAAAAGAGGAAACAAACAAATATGAAAAAAAGCTCTGATTTTTTTTCTGAATCATTATTTTATACATTAGCTTAATTATTTGTATTATTGTCAGTCGTTATATTACTATATTATTCATAAATTTAAAATACTTTAGCCACAAAAAAATGTTAGATTTACATATTACTCAAAATGTATTATTTTTTTATTAATAACATTTTTTATAGGTAAATTAAAAAAAAAAAAAGAAATAAAATATTACTAATTTATTATTTAATTTTATTATGATTTTCATTTGATTTATTTATTTATATATTTAAAAATAATAGATGCATAAACTCAAAATTTATTATTTTAATTAATATTTTATAAAACTTTATTGTTCTGAAATTATTATAGGAAAATTAAAAAAAAAAAAATAAAAATAAAATAAATCATTACATATTTTTTGTTATATTTTTTTTTGTTTTATTTATTTACATAATTTATGACATTTTTATTAATAATTTGTTTATTTACATATCTAATATCATTTTTTTAAATATTATATTCTATTTATTTATTTAGGCATTTATTTAAATATTTAATTTGTTATTTAAACCGTTTTTTTTTTATTTGTTAATTATTTATTCGTATATCTACCATTACAACTAGTGCAGTTATTATTGCTACTAGAACTATTACTGTAATTATTAATTATTCATGAGAGCTCATATCTCAACTCATTTAGACCTCGCACGACGACTGTGCATGCGAACCAGGATCGCAGCCCGAAATCATCGGTTCGACACTTGGCGAAGGCTGCCTCTGATTGTTATTAGCCCAAATGTATAATCAAAGGCTAATTAACTCAAAGTTCCTGCTGAGATAAAGCTGGTACTTAAGACCACATACTATCATTAGGCACCGCTGTAAGTACCAGCCCAATGAAAAGGCGCTTAAACAATATGCCTGTTGTCGTGACTGGGCTGCTGGGTATCGGAATAGAATACAACAATTTGAACAAAGCGCGCAAATAATTAAGTGAATATTGCGGATTGTTATACTCCTTTCACGAAAGTGAAATGAGTATATTGGTTTTGTGCCATGTCCGTATTGCTGTCCGTTCCGCCTGTCTGAATTAATTTCGAAAATAAAGTATCAAGAGTGACTCTATCGGCCCACTAGGGGCGTGGCAAAGAAGAAAATGCATTTTCAGAATCCAAGGTAGTTGAAGTGCCAGAGAGTTGTAATTTGGAATATATACTCAGGCTGACAGCTCAAAATCATTTAGATACGGCGGATACGTCTACGTGGCAAATCAGATAAAACTATATATTCAACAGCTTAAGAGCTAGAGACTATCATTTGATATTCTCTATTGATTTGCACAATATGTATACCCATTTGGGGGCGTGGCATATCGGAAATTAGGGCCGCGAATGAGCATTCTGCAGTCGATGAAGCCCGATTGCAACGTTCTTACTTGTTATTAGTTTGGCTTTCGGGAGAGTGTGCGGAGCAGGGGGATGGAGGGAGGGAAAGTGATGACTGGTGGGCGGTGTGCGAGAGGGTGAGCCGTGTGGCCTCAACATCTTCTGTTTAATTTGTTGCAAAAATATTTGTATTTATATTTTTCATGTACTTACCGTTTAATACACATTTTATACGGCTACAACTCGCCTTTTGAAGCACCTGTGCTAATTTTCCCGCCATTGTGCGGGCCAACTAAGGGAAAACTGAGCAACGGAACGACGACGTCGGAGCGCCGCCACGACGAAACGGCTAACGATGAAACGTTGCGCAAATAACAAATATTATATGTAAATAATGAAAAAAATATTTGCCAACTTGTTGCTGTTGAATTGTGTGCTTAGAAAGAGCTACGTCAATTTGATGTTGTTGTTGCTATTGCTGTTGTTGTTGTTGTTGTTGTTGCTGCTGTCTAGTTGTTGGCGTGTGGCATTAGCTATTTACTCCCGAGAAGGTCGCCCATAGAGAGACCGAGCTATTCTGAATGGAAGTACTCATCAAATTCGGGCTGTACGACAGAGTTGAATTGAGTTAATTGTTTGCCTATCCGTACAAGTCTTTTATTGCGGCTCGTTGGCGGTATTATTGATCTTACAATTAATTGGCTTTAGCATTTGAAATCTTGCTGTGCCGGTTCCGAGTCGAGTCTCAGCTGCGATCTTCAATATCTCGCAAATTGCATATTTACATTAGCTGCAAATTTTAAAAGATATTATATGAGAGAGCGGGGTCGGGTGGGGTGGTCCTACAGGTTTCGATTGTACTTCCCAAAGTTGCCAGGTTCCAGTTTGCGACCCGTGTAGAAGGGAGGCATTAAGCACTAAGCATTAGCAATCGAGACTTATACAGCTCAAAATATATTTTGCATTAATAGAGCCCATTTCGAAGCTACAATTGGGGCTTGGGGAAATACTTCCATGAATAACATCATTCAAGATTATTCCTAGTAAACCCAATTAACATCAATTTGGCTCTCTTGGCGAAAGCTCAACTTGTTTACAAAACGTTTTTTAGCCATCATTTCAGATGAAATCAAGTGGGAGTGGTCCAGTCGAGAGTGCACGACTAGGTGATACCCTAAGTCCGTTCGAGCTGCATGAACTTTTTTATTGACTTTTGCATTTCCTTAAAAAATCTACAATTTGAAATCCTTTTTTTTTTTTTATTCTATTTAAGAATGTGAACTATCTTATACTATTTCAGCAGTCGAAGCTATAGAGGTTTTTTTGGTATTATAAAGCTAAATTAGGTAATCGATTTTAATCGATAATAAGGCAATGGAATGGGATAGAGCAGAAAATTATAAAATCACACTATATAGCTCTAGGGCAAACGAATGGACAAACTGCCGAACGGACAGATAGCCTATCGAACTGATTTAGCTCTTTGTTCTAATTAATCTAAATTTCTTCTAGCTTCGTATAATAATTTCTGGTTCTTCTTCATTATTAGCTGAATTCCCATATTGAAAAGGTTCATGAGTGCGTTCAACAGCCATCAAAAGTATTTGTATCTGACAAATATTTGCTGTCAACAACCACCAAAATATTATGAACTATATTATATCTAAATAAAAGTAAAGTAACCTTCACAAAAAATAGAAGACGAGCAGCATAAAGCTGAGATGCTTGCCAAATGATTCATTTTACTGCTCTCGGCTTTCTACTCGAGGCAATTATGCAATATATTCAATAATATAGAAAATCAAATAAGTATTACTAACAAAAACTGATCCGATAAGTAAATGCAAACAGATCACAATATGAATTAATGAAGGAGCTTGAGCATTTTTGATGGAAAATATTAACTAGCTCTATCATTCCATTAGCGTTGGGTATTTATTGCAATCCTCTGGCAATATTTCTCAAAAAGAGAGTTTAGAGCTCAAAAGCATAAAATCCAATAATAAACCCAATAGTCGCCTCAGAAGGAAATGTAAATGTTGGATTACACACTCGATTCGTGTGCGTAAAATGTTTTTTTTTTTTTTTTCTTTTTTCTTTTTCTTTTAGGCCGTTGGCAACGTAATGGCTCGCAAATTATCTGTTGTACCTGCAGGGCTGCTCATTAAGGCCCGTTAAAGTCGACTGAAATCAATGAGAGGATGATTATAATAAACAGCTCGATGTGGACTCCGGCTGTAGCCATTGCATGGGCATGCAAATTATGCAAGAATTAAGTGAGCCAAGCTAAGCAGTTAGTGGGCAAGACGGCAAGCCCTGCTGACACAGAACCAGTGCACCACACTGCACCACTGCACCACGGCACCGCGGCACCACTAAACCACTGAGCCACTGAACCACAGAGATCTTAAGTGACTGCCAGCCGAGCTGTGGGCATTTGCTGATTTGTTTGCTGCATCGATGCACGCGGCGTATGCGCAATATTTGTGCAGCCTCCCGCCTCCTGCCGCCTCCCAGCTGCCAACTGCCAACTGCCATCGACCACACCCAAAAGAATGTCGCGCCTTGCCCGCAATCTTTTGTTCGGCTCGTTTCCAATTCGCCTGTCGAGTTTTTTTTTTTTTTTTTTTTTTGCTCTTTTGATATTTTTTACAGTGTTTTACGCGACGCTTTTTATGAGCCAACAATAAGATTTTTTTTTGTGCAAGGCCGTTGGTGGCTCGTTTTGCTCAATCGTAAAAAGCCAAAATGCGATTGTTGCTGGCGCTGTTTGCCGCTGCGATTGCGCGAGCCTTTTCCAGCCTGGCCCAGTTGCTTGAATGGATTTTTATTGATTTTATCGTTCTGGGCGATCACGTGCCATTGCAGCGCGCACAGTTCAAGCCAGTCCAGGCCCAACTGCAAAGCCTTTGGGCCTGGCCTCAATGCGTGCGTTGTCCGTGAAACATAAAAGAAGCACAGATCAGACAGCTTCCCATACTAGATACGGGATTCGTGTTTAAGATAACAAATGCCGTACATTTCCTTGGGTAAAAGTCAAGACGTGACTCGGCCAGAACAGATGGACCAGTTCCACTTGCCGTACCAGTTTCGTATTGCATTTCCAATTGCAATATCAACACGGCTAACCGCAAAAGGCGCCAGCAATGCGAAAATGCAAGCAAGAGCTGTGTAAACAAGTAAAAGTGATGCTGCAGCCAATGATCGACTAGAATGCACCCATTAGGCGGCATCCGTGATATAAGAGAATCTCACATCGATATGCATATCGATATATATCGAGTTGTATGCGCGAGCAAGTCTGAGTTTTAATTGAGTAGAGACAGTCAGAGATCTCTTTTAATCTGTTGCATGCCTGGTCAAGCTATAGAATTTATGTGGACTATAGGGCATAAATGTTTGCAAGAAATTATTGGTAAACAGCTCAAACTAATGATCGACTAGAATGTACCCAGTAATTAGCAGTCGATGGGCACACTCATCGGGCATGCCTGATATAAGAGAATCTGAGATAGATACATATGTATATATATATATATGTGCGTGTTAGCTTTCATCGATATTTATCGACTTCCCCGATTTATCTAAAAGAGTTTAGTTTTAGCTGAGCAGAAACATATATACCTGGACACATTATGGAATTCATTGTGTCTATAGGGTATAACTAAAAAATAAAACATAATTTATGCTACTTTATTGCTATATGCTCTAGACTCGACTCCAATAATTTCAACTTTACTTGTGCAACATCAGCTATGCATACCCAATCAATACAGTTTATGAGGTGGCAATGTGAGAAACAGGAAAATGGCTAGACAGATAATTAGAAAGCGTAGGAAAAGTGAATAGAATCTCAGTAAATATTTGAATAAAAATAACGATCGTCTTTGTAGCTCGATCATGTTGAAAGGAGGACCAATATCCATCGCTACGAATCTACAGCCAGTTTACAGGGCATGTGGCAGTCCAGCTAGTCTAGCTAGAACTTAACAAGACTTGCCAAAAATGCAATTGTCTAGTGGTAAGGCTGATCGAGCGCCTGGTTAATGCACGTCCTTGACCATCGTAAGCAGCCAATGAGCATACGAGCAGAATTCGCAATGCGATAAATAAGTGAATAACAAAACGAAATGCATAGCGACTTGCATCGTTCCATTCGATTCGATGCGATTCGATCCAAGTCAATCCGATCCGATCCAATCGGATCCAAAGAGGCCATATGCAGCTCAAGATTTATTTATAGACAGCGCGGGCTTTTAGCCTCCATTCGAAGCACGCTGCGTATGAGTTACGCCAAGTGCAGATCGTTACAAATTATTAGCCATGTTTTATGTTTTTTTTTTGTTTTTAACTCTTTACATTTTCATACTCTGTTTATAAACGCGATTGGGGTATATGGAGATTATTTGCGTTGTTCAGCTCAGCTGATGAAGAATTTCAAATTGGAATGTTGACTAATATAAATGAGAATTCTTATGCTAATGATAAGGCTAAAGATAATGATAATGCTAATGTATGCCAATACTAATGTCGATGTTAGTGAATTGATAGACAATAATACTAATGATACTAATGCTAATGCTAATGCAAATGCTTATGTTAATGCCATTATTTGAGCTAATGCTAATAACAATGATTATGATTATAATAATGTTAATGTTGATTCTGATGTTATTTCTAGCCCAATAATATAATATAAATGCTAATACTAATGTTAATGCTAATGCTAGTGCTAGTGCTAATGCTAATACTGATGCTAATGCTAATGCTAATGATTATGCTAATGCTAATGCTTATATTAACGCTAATACTAATGCAAATGCTAATGCTACTGCTAATGTTAATGCTAATGCTTATGTTAATGCTAATAATAGTGTTAATGCTAATGCTAATGCTACTGCTAATGCTATTGCTATTGCTAATGTTAGCGCCAATGCCAATGATGTGTTAATGCTAATGCGAATGCTAATGATAAACGTTAATGATAATGCTTTGTTAATACTAATGGTAGTGCCAATACTACTGCTAATACTGATGCTCATGCTTTGGTAATGGGAAATATTGCTAGTGATAATGATAAAGATTTAATCTTCATTTAATACTTCTTCATTTAATGCCAGTTCAAGGGACGATGCAGTCATAATGATCATAGCAATGCTAATAATAATAATACCTCTTATTAAAGCTAACCCTGTAATAAAACTATAAACGCGCATTGAGCAGTCTGTTACACCCGATAGTAGCATTCTTAATTGTACGGGTTTATCGTGTCTTCTTTTATTTTATTTGCTTTTGTGCATCGTATAGCATTTTAAAGAAAACGATAGCGCTCACTGGGTGCGTCCGAATGCACATGAATTTCGGTGTCGATGTCGACTTAATGCACCTTTCGCAGCAGCCCGCGTGGCTCTTTGTCAAAGAGCTGGCTCAAAGCTGATGATGAAGCTGGCAATCGCTGCCCAGAGGCCCCGTATCGCACTTGGCTGTTAGTTTTGGCTCAGATCCAATGGACAAGCCACAAAACGATTATTGCGCCGATGCCCGTTCAGCGATTCTAGTTTGAACTGGCCCAAAGCGGTTTCAAGCTGTTTAACGGCCGCTGCCATCGCTGCCATCGGCCGCTTGCCGGTTTTTCAAATGGGGGCTTGTTGGTGTCGCCGTCGCTGCTGCCGCCGCTGCTGCTGCTGCTGCTGCTGCTGACGTCGCTGCTGCTGTTGCGGTTGCTGTTGGTTGGCTGTGTTGAGCTCTATCCAAAGCTTGTCGTAGGTACACCAAAGCCAAAGCCAAAGCCAAAAGCAATTGAAAGATTGATGGCTCTACTTCGGCGGGCTAATGATTCAAAGCAGACCGACGCAGCGGCGGCGGCCTCACCGTTTCGTCCCGCTGCTGATACTGAACGCGATACGAACATGCTCCACACCCACCCCCTGGGTTCTATTTAAAGTATAGATATCCCCCCTCCCCCCACACACACACACACACACTTATTTGTTTTTACCGTTTCTTGGCTGGCTTAGTCGATGGGTAGGGCTAACCGTCCAAGCAGTTTCCAAGTTAACAGCTCGAAATTTAACCAAATGATGTGTTAAATGGGCCAACGATTCTTAGATAAGAATAGAGGTGAAGAAGAATAGAAGAGCAATAAACCATGCAAATTAATTGACTTTCCAAGTCAATGGATTCGAATTTCTGAATCAAATATTATAATCAAATTCATTATTGCTATCATTTGCATTACTATTGTCATCATCGATGGCTTCGTTGATGATTATTTATTATCATCATTATGATTCACTCTCACTGTTGCTGCGGTTCGCATAATCATTGTCATTAGCATCATCATTAATAGTAGTTAATCATTTAGCTAGCATTGTCATCTTTATTAACATTATAATTGAAAGTATTATCATTACTATTGTTCAATATATATTGTCGCTGCTCTGTAGTATTATCATGATCATTGTCATTATCATCATCTAATTAGTATTAGAATGATTATTGTTATAATCATATGAATTGTTATTTTCATTAGCATTGTTATTGCTATTATCATTGCTATTATCATTATCATAAACAATTATCAACATCAACAACAATTATCATAAACAATAGTTTAGCCATTATCTTTGTCATCATCTAATTATGATTAGAATGCATATTAATCATTAGAATTGTCATCAATATCATTTCTAATTTTATTATTATTCCCATTAACATTATTATTCATATGAATTTTGCAATATAATGTTTAATCAAATGCTAAAATTTGACAACCATAAATTGGACTCCCAAGTAATAATATCATCGACTCCATCTGAGGCGCGAATCTCTCTGACAATCTCGAAACGACTCGATGCGTAATATAGTTGGATATCGCTTTTGCGCAGCTTTTCTGAGAGTTTTCATGGCGAAATGCTGCTCAGCTGCCGCAAACCAATATTTTCCGGCGTGCATTAGCTGGCCGGAGTCTCCAGCGGGGTGTTAATTGGCCTTTGTTTATATTGAGAGAGAAGTGAACGAGTTTGGCCGTCGAATTTGTTCTTCATAATAATTGATTTAATTATGAGTGCGTGTGGTGCAACGCTTATCCGCAAAATAACAGTAATGCCCGGCCGGAGTAATAGTTTTATTATTCCTCCTTCTCAGCATTTCATCGAACAACAAAATATTGCAGCAAATGTTGAAATATTTCTCTTCATATTTGTGTTTAATTGGCAGCAGCGAGTGTGGATGGAAAGCCATACAGTGGTCTACATACATACATACATGCAAATGTGTGGCTTGTGTACGTGTGTAACTGTATTTATATCTAACACGCATTTGCATGTAGAGCTGGTGCTAAGTCAATAGACCGATCCCTCCGCTAACCCCTTTGTAAACGGGGTCCAACTGATAGCCAGCGGCAGCAAAGCGCGTTAAAGTTGACAGCACAGCTATCACTCACACACACACATACACACACACACACACACACACACACACACACACACACACACACACATACACCCACATAGTGAACTTGAAAAGGTTATTAAAAATTCAAGTGCGGTAGTTGGGTGCTAAGGTAAACAGTCGACGACAATGCGTCGCGACGCCGACGC